GAGGGCGGCAGCCCAGGTGGCTCAGCTGCAGCTCCTGTTCCATGGTTACAGTTAGGTGTTTCCTCCCATTCCCTTTACATCTCAGAGCACATACCCATGGCCTCCCTGTGTTCAGGGGAACGCCATCATTTCTCAGCTGCAGTGGCTTCTCCAGAGGAACCGTCTTTCAGAGTGAGCTGTAATTTCTCTGCCTCCCCTTTGGTCTCAGCACAGATTTTGACACACAGGAGACCTTGGTTATTAGGGCTGGGTCTCTGCACCTTGTTGTGGTGTCAAATATTCACTTTTAACTATTGGAGAACATTTTAAAAAGAAGATTTTGTCTATTTTTTTTCATTTTTTTTTAATCCCAGAGATTTCCCTCCTCATTCCCCACACTCTAATTTATCACCAGTGAATTTCATTTAACCCCCTTATGTCTTCTCCTTTGAGCCTAATGTATAATAAAGGTGCAAAACTGTCGTTCTCAAGAGCATTACTCAATCTGCTGTTATTTTGCTTCCTGACAAATGTTGCCGACTTTGGTCAAATAAACAGAAAAATTCTCCACAGGTTTGGAGATTTCTTACAACATCACCAAAAGCAATTGACTCATGTGAAGCAGGAGAAGGTTACATGGAGGGGTATCAGCATTTCCAGGGACTCAACTGCCTGAAGACAGATTTATAAACACAAATTTAAATTTAGAGCAGACCCAGAACCCAGCAAGCTAGAGCAGTGGTTCTCAACCTGTGGGTCGCGACCCTTTGGGGTAAAATGACCCTCTCATAGGGGTCGCCTAAGACCATCGGAAAACATATATATAATTACATATTATTTTTGTGAGTAGTCACTATGCTTTATGTTCAATTTGTAACAATGAAAATACATCCTGCATAGCAGATATTTACATTACAATTCATAACAGTAGCAAAATTACAGTGATGAAGTAGCAACGAAAATAATTTTATGGTTGGGGGTCACCACAACACGAGGAACTATATTAAAGGGTCGCGGCATTAGGAAGGTTGAGAACCACTGAGCTAAAGCTTTCTCCTTGTTTCCAGAGAACAGATGAAAATGCTCAAGGCTCAGGTGGCTTTGGTGTGTGTGTGTGTGTAAGTGTGTTTTTCATTAATCCTCACCCAGGGATGTTTGTTCTCTTTTTTTTTTAACCCTCCCTCGACTTCCATCTGACATTATGCACTCTCTCCCATGCTTCCATGTCTCTGGATCCACTCCATTCTTCAGTTAATTTTGTTAATTAGGTTCCATCTTTGTGTGAGATCAAGTGATGCTTTTCTTTCTGCGACTCACGTATTTCACTTAGCACGATGCTCTCCAGGTCCCTCCATGCCATGTGAAAGGGTTCCTACCCTTTTTTTACTGCTGCAAAGCATCCCATGGTATAAATGTACCACAGCTTTTCTATCCACTCATCTACTGATGGGCACTTGGGCTGTTTTTAAATCTTAACTATTGTAAATTTGTGCTGCTATGAACATAGTGGTGCGTACATTCTTTCTGATTGTTGTTTCAGGTTTCTTTAGGATATATTTCCTAGAAGTGAGATCACAGGGTCAAATGGCAGTTCCATATTTAATTTTTTCGAGGAAACTCCCTATGTTTTCCATAATGTCTGCACCAGTCTCCATTCCTACCAGCAGTGTACTAGGGTTCCCTTTTTTCCATATCTTCACCAGCACTTGTCCTTTGTTGAAGGTAGTCATTCTGACAGTTGTGAGGTGGTATCTAATTGTTGCTTTAATTTGCATCTCACTGATGATCAGTGTCTTTCACCATTTTTTCACATGTCTCTTGACCATCTTATCCACATTGCTGCCCAGGCAGAGCTGACAGTTCAAATGGCCCCAAAAAGTAGATGCTCTTAAATATTGATGTCTGTTTTTGAGACATTAACTTCATACAATGGAGGCAGGTTAGATGAGTTAGACACTTGAGCAAACTCTGCAAACTACATGTGGCCTGAAGGAGTCAGATGCCTAATGGCCTGAAAGAAGACACAATGCCTGTCATTCAGAAAAGAGCTGGTCCTGAAAAAAAATACAGTGGGGCCTTGACTTACGAGTTTAATTCGTTCCGTGACAGAGCTCATAACTCAAATTACTCGTATGTCAAGTCATTAAAGTGAAGGAGTGAAACAGGTGATTCTGGGCTGCTGATCTGGCGTTCACTGTGACGTTCACTGCGCGAGAGACAGCTCATATCCCGAAAAACTCCTTAGTCGGGACACTCGTAAGTCAAGGCCCCACTGTATGCAAAACCAGCAGCTAAAGGAAGCCAGGCAGGTGCCTCAAAAACAAACTTGCCCTAGAAATCCCCTCCCCTGAAGGCACTGGAGGGCCCTGAGTATACTTGGTGTATTCTTGGGCTATTTGCCCTCAAAACCAGTCCTGGAGTCAGCTGAGGAAATACGGAATCCTGGCCGTGGAGCGTAGGAACTACATTACCCAGAAGGCCGCGCGTGGAATGCCACCAGGCTGAGCCAATGGAAGCTCGGAGAAGGCGTTTCCGTGTTTCAAGTTCTGGTGGGCGGGACCGGTAGTTTTTTCTCCATTTTGTCTTAAGTGGTCGGCGGTACCTGGCCGAGTCCCGGGGGGAAGGCTGGAGAGTGCTTTTCCCCGCCTCGCAGCCCATGGTGGGAGCCTCCAGTGGTGCTCACAGCGCACACGTGGGATTGAAGCTCGGAGTCGCCACCAGACCCGCCCAGGGCCGGGACAAGGACCGCCATTCCTGCAGCGGCTTCTGCTCCCGCTCCGCCCCGACTACCGAGTGCCATGGAGGCGCCGGTGCTGAGGAGCTGGGCTGAGGTGAGTGTGTCCCCCGGGCCCTCACCGCCACTCACACCGAACAGGACAGCCCGGGTGCAGGCGCCTGTCCTGCAGCTCAGTCCCGCGTGGAGGACCGTGAGAAAGGTGGAGGGGAGAGAGGAGTGTTGTGGCTTCTGAGGACACAGCAAGTGCAGGGCAGAGAGGACAGGGGTGACTTGCATCTGAATGTCCCTGAGGATGTGGCTGTGAGTATTGACGGAAAGATCGGAGGCTGCAGGGAGGACGGCACAGACTCATTCCGGGCTTTCCCGGCTGTGGGTCCATCAGGGCCTGGGGTGGGCCTGGATCCGGCTGGACTACAAGCTCTCTACACGCCATATGCCAAGTTCATGGGTGAGTCCAGCGAGATCCAGTGGCATTGGAGCAGGAAGGGGGCAGAGCTGAGGGAGTGAACCTGGGATCTGAACATAGGAAGGGGTTAAACATTACCCAGTGATGAGCACATCGGAGGAAGTGTGAGCTGATGGTCCCCGGGACCTATTG